GCAGGCCACTGTGAGGACCACTGGCTGCTGACAATACATCTAGTGGTGCAAGGGTGGAAGCAGGGAAACCGGTTTGGTGGTTACTGCAAAAATCCAGGGGATGGATGACTGTGACTTGGCTAAAGCGGTACCACTGTAGGTTGTGGTCAGATTCCGGATCAAAATACAAAAGTGGAGTTCACAGAATTTGCTAATGGATAAAATATGAGGTATGAGAATAAGAGAGCCCAAGGAGCTGAAAAGATAAATAAAGAACAAATACATAAACCTCCTTCCTGCTGGGTCCCACTGGTGGCCCACGCACAGACGAAGTAACCCCTTGGCCATCTCGCTGTGCAGGAGCGTCACACCTGGCAAAGCTGGTCCCCTGGCAGAGGCCCTCCCCCACGCTCGAGAGCTGACCCTGGATCCAGCCTCTCACCCCACCCCCACTTTGCTTCCTATACTCTTGGCCCCGTGACCCTTCGCTAAGTAGATGGGCACATGGTCTCACACCCACAGAATCTGCTCCTTTATCAACCACGAACAGGTCCAGAACAGCTCAGTGGAGCTCCTGATAAAGAGAAGGTCTACATCCTTAGCACGTTCCGCAACTGCTAGAGTCTCTTCCCCACACTTTGTGCCACTTAAGGAGGCAGTATCACCTCCAACACAGAGGCGGTGGCCCAGACTTGGGGGTGGAGGTGGGAGAATGGAGACAAGAAGGGGAAAACAAGAGAGCAGCCGCTGGAGGGTCTGCACCCCAAATCCCCCCTCAGGCTGTGCCTGTCCTCGGCCATTCAAGAGCATCTCCTGTTCAAGGGAAGGCCTCCATCCCCACCCACACGTGCCATCACCACCATCACCAAATCACCCATCTAGACCTACTCCTCTCCTCTTCCACCCCACTTTCCAAAGAGCAAAAGGGTACTTGGCATTTCCATGAGATTCACCTTTAAAAATATACTGTTTGGGGTTTCTTTTCCTAGCCAAATCCATACAACCTTGTCCTGAACATTCAGCCTGAGACAGACAATAAGACATACAGAAAAAAGAATTCAAAATGGGGCAACGGTAGGGAAGTGCTTCTTACTGATTATTTTCTAGGCCAATGACTGTAAGATCATGGTAAGCATGTCAATCAAGTGTTTGCTGACTGCTCACAAAGTGGCCAACATACAATGACCCCTGGAAGAGACATGCAGACAAGACAGCATTCCCACCCTCAAGAAGCGTACAATCCAATTAAGGAAGAAAGTACCGCAGGCACGAGAGCAAACAAGCAAATGCTTCCTATACTGCGTGGCCAGGCTATCGGAGTAAGGATGGTTAGGATTCGGGGGAGCAGAGAAGAGACAGAGGAGGCACACACAAGGCCAGAGGCAGCACTCAGCAGAGCGCACGCAGGGGACTGGGAGCGTGGTGACAACTGCCTGTGGGCTTTCAGAGCCAGGTATAACAGCTGATGGGGGCCTTGCAGGCAGCAGCCCAAGCTTCGCAGCAGGATGGCTTGGCCACAGCCAGGAGGGTGGTACCAAGGAGAATGGAACTGCAGCCAGGCAATGTCCAGGAGGCCTGGACAGTCACTTGGGCATAAAATGAAGGGGGAAGAGACTAGAACTATAGCAATGGGAACCGTAATCTAAAAAGGGAAAGTCCTTACAATACTGAGCACCAATTATGGCAGGTGTAGTTTTAGACATAGAAGATAAGCGATTTCCAAAGATATTTTGAAGAAAGAAATAACAAAGCAGATTAGCTAGAGAGGGTACACAAACCAACTGCTGACTTTATTTATTACCTGCATTCTGTTCAAGGGTGGAAAGGCTAATAAATACTTTATATCCCAGTCAGTGGCTTAACTTTATCTACAACTTTCCTAGACACAGAATGCTTAAAGGAAGACTCTGTCAGGGACACACACACGTGAGATGAAATGACAGCCATCTTTAGTCCTTCACGGAATTATTTTGCTTCCCTGTGTTTTACATAAATATGGATGAAAAGATCTGAAAATTCCTAACTATCTCCCAAGCAGTAAAGCAAGACCGTTGTTAACACGCAACGGGCCTACATCGCCATTCCTTACCCTGCCACGGCCAAGCACACCTTCCTTCTGCGGGAGCCTAAGGAGGTGATGACAACGGGCAGGGGCTCGAAGTACCTCTGACCCCCCGGGCACTGAGGAAGGCTTTTCACTCATCTGAGCCCTCTCTCACCCTCTTAAGTGCCCGATAAGCCCCAGGGGTCACGACAAACCTGGCACACAGGCTCTGCTGAAGACACGGCCACATGCACTGGAAGCCATGAAAGCTTCTTCTGCCATCTCCCACCCTAACCCACACTCCAAAATGCCACAGACTGAGCATCAGCCTCCCAGGGAAGATGCACCTGGCTTCAGACAACTGAGCAGCCAGCTGAGGGTCAGGTACCTAGGGCTGTATTTAAGGATGTGGCCCCTCTCCGCTGCATTTAGAACAAAGGGCAATTCTGAGCCCCTCAGACTCTTCAGTGCAATGGCAATGACGACCAAGGTGCTCACAGAGACACCCTTCTATGCGTCCCCAAGGCAAAGGCAGGTTGGTTTCCTAAGCCCAAGCCACAGGACATTGTAAGTGGAGTATATTCAAAGCAGTACACTAGTGAGCTGGAATCCCGTGTCCTCACAAGGATGAAGGAGGAGCCAGTCATTACCCAAAACCCGCCTCTCCTCCTCAGCCCCAGTGCGAGAACCAAGGAGGGCAAAGCTGGAGCAAGCCCCGTCTGCTGTATCACTCTGCCTGCTCCGACCGGCTGTCCTCCTGCACATCCTTCTGATGCACTTTGACCTTGCACGGTGAGGCCAAATGTGCACAAGCCCAGTCTTCTGGCGAGTCACAGAGGAACTGCTAATGGAGGCTACTGCTCCAGGTAAGACACCACTGCCCTCCAACGAGGCTGCTTCTGTTTGAGCATCTGCCCACGGGGCTAAGGCGCGCATCTGGGTTTTGTCCACCATCTCTGCACGTGGCACATGTCCATACTTATTACCAACCGTAACGGGGGGCAGGGGAGTCAAAGGGATTAGCTCCACAAGACTTTGACCCTGCCTGAGATGAAAGTCTTAAAACCAGACTCACACCTCTGCCAGCTGTCACCCACCTCAACACTGTCACAGCCTACACCAGAATCCTACAGACACCCAGGTTGTGTGGCCAGGGAATTGGATCCACAAATCAACTGTCCCTTTAAAGATCCACAGCAACTTAAAAGCAGCTGGTTTCTGGTATGAACCAGTCCTCAGAAAGCAACTCTCACTTCATCTACAAAGGACAAGGTCCAACAATTTGAGTTTTGTTTAAAAAAAATAAAATAAAAGGAAAGAATTGCTCCACACAGATAAATTCAAGACTCAAGACACAACTGCTCGTTCAAGAACAGGGCTTGAGGGCTTTTCAAAGCAGCCAGAAGGCTGCTGAGTGTGACTGTCCTGCTATAAAGCTAAACATGGCTGGTTGAGGTCTGGGTCGAGGGGAAGGGAAACAGTCCTGAACAGAAAGGTCCCGCCTGAAGGGGCACAAAGCAGGCGCAGAGCTCACTGTGGGGCCTCTGCACTGCCCACACCCAGGGCAGATCCAGCAGAGCTGACCTTGCCCGTACAGGCAGGTGTCTCCTGCCCTGCCCTGCAGTAGCAAGTCCTCGGACAGAGGCAACTGTGCGGCCAGAGGAAATCCAGACTTCTCCTCTCTCCTTTCCCTCCCTCCCTCTTTGTTTAAAAGAGAAGGGGAGGGACTTCCCTTCCCTAGTGGTCCAGTGGGTAAGACTCCGTGCTCCCAATGCAGGGGGCCTGGGTTCCACCCCTGGACCGGCAACTGGATCCCAAATGCCGCAACCAAGACTCTGCATGCGGCAGCTAAGAATCCCACATGCTGCAACGAAGATCCCGTGTACCGCAAATAAGACCCAGAGGAGCCTAAATAAATAAATAAATATTCAAAAAAAAAAAAAAAAAGAGAAGGGGAGTATTTCTGTGCCTAAGAAGTGTTGCAACCGCAAGAGTCCTATATCAAAAAACAATGACTGAGGACTTCCCTGGTGTCCTCAGAATCTGCCCTGCCAATGCAAGGGACACAGGTTCGAGCCCTGGTCCGGAAGGACCCCACATGCCGCAGAGCAACTAAGCCTGTGTGCCACAACTACTGAGCCTGTGCTCTAGAGCCCGTGAGCCAGAACTACTGAGCTCACGAGCCACAACTACTGAAGACCACGCACCTAGAGCCCACGCTCCTCAACAAGAGAGGCTACCGCAATGAGAAGCCCACACATCACAACAAAGAGCAGCCCCTGCTCGCTGCAACTAGCGAAAGCCCACACACAGCAACGAAGATCCAACGCAGCCAAAAATAAAAGATATAAATAAATAAATTTATTTAAAAAAAAAACAAAAAACAATGACTGAGACGCTGCTTTGGGAAAGATCTCCAGTATTCTCCTTACTTGCTGCAAGTAATAAATCCTTCCCTCTCCCCCCACAAAAAAAAGAAAAGAAAAGAAAACAATGGCTGACTTTTTAAAGCATTTCAGTAATACCTGGGATCTCTAAAAGATCCTGAAATTGGCACACGATGGTTATAATTTCAGTGCTTAAGAGAAGCTCTGAAGTCACATCATTTCCACATAGCGATCAGAGGTAGTTTCTTACCATATAGTTGGGAGGCTTTATTTTTTGGTCTCCTGCCTCAAAGAAAGTCCCTACTCCAAACCAAGTACTGTGACGGTAGTAATAATGATACTATCAAAAATATCAGCTGCAATGTATTAATCACATTACCACATGCCAGGCATGTTTAAGAGCCAGCGACCTATCTTTCCTCATTTAATTCTCCTTGTGAGGTAGGTACAATTTTTAGGCTGATTTTATAGATAAGAAAAAGGAGACACAGAAAAGTTAAGTAACTTGCCCAAAGTCACAGTGAATGATATAGCTGGCACTTAACCCCAGGAAGTCTGGAACCATTAGATTAAACAGCCTCTGTACTTACATCTGCTAGATCTTCATCCTGAAACAACCCTGTGAGTCATCATAGGGTTACCTGCAAATTACAGATGGGGGAAAAAAAGAATGAAGAAAGGTCAGATAATTCGTCCAGCTAGTAAGCTATAGGGACAGACAGGGTCAGGAATCGGATCCAGGTCTCTGACCTCCAAGTTCTACACTCTTCACTTCTCCATACTCCAGGGCGGCTTGATCAGCCAACAAGGGACCTCTGTACAGATGGCTGTTCCCAGGACCAGAAGAGGTGACACTAGGTCCCAAGGGCATACAGGCAGGGAAGAATTAAGAACCATCATGCCATGAGGAATCTGCCATCTGCTGCCCACTTCGTGGCTCTTAAACAGGATTTACCCTGTCATGTCCTGCTCAAAAACCTACAGACTTATTATCCCTCATAGTGTCTCCTGTGTGATTTCAAGTCCCTCTGGCTTGAGTTACCCGATCTCATCTCCCACTTTCCCCAAGAAACCCAACCCTCCCTCCAGTTTGGCAACCCCACCCCACCCCACCCCAGGGCACATCCCTCTCACTCGGACATGGCTCACGTGGTTCCCAGCACCTGAATCCGCTCGTGCTCATCTCCCTGCCATGTTTCAGAGCCCCTTGCCTCCCCCAGCCCTTCCTGAGTGCCTCCGCCTCTGGGCGCCTTCGCAGTTCCAAACAATTTCATACTTACTCACATCCAAGCAGTATTGTTTGCCATTGTTTCTGTTTCCCAACGGAAAATTCCTTAGGGAAACAACCATGCAGGATCTCAGGAGGCACAGACACCAGAAGGCTTCCGAGCACAGGCTTAGGAGTCAGACAGAGATTGGATCCTGACTGCCACACGCTCAGCCGTCCAATTCCTAGTTGGCACACCTGTAAAATGGAGGTGAAAATAGTACCTACCTCACAGGGTATTTCTAAGAAGTAAATGAGAGAATGCATCTCTATAACGTTTTCCACAATGCCTGGCAAAAATGCTCAATAAATAATTAATTCAACGATAACATACCGGGCCACAGCCCTGCCTAATGTCTGCTGACTGTGCAGCTGGAGCACAACAAACAGCTGCAATTAAGTGATGGAAGACTACTGAAGGTTGAGGACTACTTGTAAAAACTAGACAAAAGAAGAAAAGCAAGAGGGAGCTCAAGAAAGTAAAATAATAGAGTAGAACGGGGAAAACAGGATCTAAGGACTAAACCAAATCTGAAAACACTTCCTGGGCACTGACTATGTGCAAGCACACCAAGGGGCACAGAGGGCGTGTAAGACAAAGTTCCCACACTCACGGGGCTTAGGATCCAGCTAAGCACTTAAGACAACACACAAAATAACTAAAACCACAAAAAAGTACATAACCGCAAAATGAATGGTACAGCCAGGGGTTTCCAGCTTTTTTCAGTTACAACTCCTTTTTACCATCAACTATTTCTTTTTTGATCATTATGTGATATATGGCATACCTTATAATACCTTATTGATTGAAAAAAATGCCTAACAATAAAAAAAATCTACTATAAGTTCAACATTTTCCAATGAATTTGTATTTTGTTAATCACAACAGCATCTACGTGCACTGCAGAAAAAGCAGAACATATATATTCGCGATGTCATTAACTCAAGCTATGACGTTTGATGAATCTACTCAATAGATCCACAAGACTGGCCGATGGGCAGTACACACACACACACACACACACACACACACACACACACACACAGAGACTCTGCCCAAAGCATGGGGAATCACTGGCAGAGAATCCTACTGACAATAGTAGTTCAGAAGCGAGTAGAGACTAGATGACAAAGTTCTAACAGATTCAACTCAATAAACACTTAGCTAACTTAATTACAACAAACAGTTAACTATTATAATGAAAGAGATCTTGGAGGACGGGTGGGATGAAGCTGGGCGGAGGGAAGGGGGAACGTGACCGGCGTGCACGTGCTCAAACCCGAGCCTGGAGCCTCCTCTGCAGGCACGCTGAGGGGAGGAGGGGACCGCGACCTGGGCACAAACTCAACCCACCGTCCGGAAGGGACACAGCTGCTCAAAAGACAAGTACTGCAGATGCCAGGAGCTCCTGTGTGAAGAGCACGGGCTCCAGAGTCCACAGATCTGGACTTGAATCTGAGACCCACCCACCACTGGGCCTCAGTCAGTGAAGGCAGGCTTCTGAAGCCCCATCTCCCTGCTGTAAAACAGAGACCAATACTATTTGCCTCATAGGGAGATAAGGATTTTGAGGTGAGGCTAAAATAAGTAACCATGGTGAAGTGAGCCCGCGGTGTCCCAGAGAGCAGATAATGCCGCGGTGCCCACGACCATACCACAGGGAATGCCAAGGTAAGACTGAGTGCAGCGCTCCTCAAACAGATTTGACCACAAAGCAGTTTTAGGTTAAAATTTACAGAAGGAATCAGTAAAGGAGCGCAAGAGGTATGAGGCACACTTAGATTAGCATGGGACGACAAATAAGAAAACACCTAAGGATCCAAACTATGAATTCAACATTTTAGATACACCTTTAAATTATTTTATTAATTTATTATGTATTTTATTAATCACAAATCAAATCAAAAGGGCTCATGGATAAATGAACTGTTGCAAAAATGACTAGTTTTTAAAAGGTTTATAAATAAAATCCTCCCCCCTACCAAAAAATTGAGTAAAATTCAATCATCTTATTAAGAACATCTTTTGCTTTTCTCCAGACCCCTTTTAACAGTCCGTGGAACACAATTAAGGAAGCACTACCTCAGAGTGGGGTGCGGTGCTGAAATAGAGGACAAGATAAATAGGAACAAGGAAGACACAACAAATAAAATATTATTCTACACTTCTGTGAACAATGATAAATTGTATGGCTTAGACAGCAGGACTTGGTACCTCTTCTCACCACCCCCAATTTAAGGACCATGAAAACACCTGTTGTATGCCAGGAATGCTACAGGCATTAGGGGATAGGACTTCTCGGGATAGAGGAGGGGAGGAAAAGGCAGTGAAGGGAAAATTATCAAATTCTGCTTCTGAATTTGGCCTTTTTTTAAATTTGGATATTTTTTTAATGTATGTATGTTATTACTATAGAAATCAGATGCTTTTTCAGAAGCGAAAACTAAAGCTTGAAAACAAGGAAGACAACGTGCCACTGTAGTGAATGGACACAGTTCTGATTGCAGAGGGTCTTTATCTGTCCCCCAACGGAAGCTCCGACCAGTGTGGCCTGGGGTAGAGAATGGAGACCCCCGTGTGGGCTCCACGCCGGCAAACTGCTCCTCAAGGACTCAGAACTCCAACTCCATCCGACAATGAGCAGGAGAGCCGCCCCTCTCCTGGAAGGCAGCTGGAGATGCCATGGAACTGGGGCGCAGTCACACAGCCACTCTGCACACCAAGGCCAGTCCCTCAGAGCAGCGTTTCTGTGCAGTCCGGGCCCCTGTGCCAGGAGGGCGGGAGAGGCGGCCCAGGGACTTTCCGTCTGCGAATTCTGGAGCCCAAGCAGCCGCGGAAGGCAAACCCAGGGCAGAGAAGAGGACCAAAGGAAAGTCTGATTAATAATTACACTCTGAGTTTACACAGCACTTCTTTCTTCCCTGATGAGTTTGAAGTATTTTGGAGACATTACTTCACCAGGGCCTTCAGGTTCTTTATTTAAGACAGTCTCCAGCACACGGGAAAGCTGAATATTAAGTCCACTTTAAAAGATTAGGGAGAGCACACATACCCACACCAATCTGCCCGAGGGGAATCGGCAGAGCGATGAGACTCCAAGCTCCCGTTCGCCTCGCTGTTCTGGCCAGTAGCATAAGGTTGCTTCTCAAAAATGATTCTGAGAGTTTAGGAAAAACTGAGTGTCCCACAGGTCCCAAAATAAGCGTCCAGAATTACACAGAACAGAATAATAGTCCTGCCTCACCCACAGCACAGATCAAGGGCCCAAGTTGCCTTAAATCATTTCTAAGACAAGCCAAAAAAGGAATAAAGGAGACAGGGAAATGGAAGGATAAAAGAGGAAAGGAAAAAAGCTCATGTGTTGTGCTGAGATCAAAGCAGTTTCCATTTGCATCTCAAGAGAGGGGCACTGGCCGGTCCCACAGGCCTGTCTACTGCAAGCCAACCAGAGCACTATAATCTATAGGATAAATCGCTAGTCATTTTACATTTCTTTCTTGTCTCTCAAAAAAAAATACATCTGTTTCTATAAGAATACTCAGTCATTTAGCATTTATTGTGAGTCTACCAAACACCAGGCATCATGCTGGGTCTGAGTACAGAAGTGAACAAAATGTCTCCTATACTGGATGGAAATGCAGTGGTGGACACAACCACCAGGACAAAAATGTCAACACACAAACAGAAAAACAAGTTCATACTTACATACCGTGAAGAGGTCTGAGGGGGAGAGAAGAGCAGAAGGTAAGAGGAAATAACACAAGGGACCCTTGGCTGGGGTGGTCAGGAAGGCGGCAGGAGCGAAGTGCTGTCTCGCCTGAGGTGGAGGGTGGAGCTGAGGGAAGGCGGGAGCTTCCTGCAGGGGCAGGAGGAGGCACAGGTGCACGGCCATCAGGTGAGAACAGACGTGGGCCTTCCAGGAACTCTGGGTTTAAAGGTCACTGGGAGAGGAAGAAGAGGACAGCAGGGCAGGCAAGGCCACATCATGGAAAGCCAGGCTTGGCATCTTAAGGAAAGTGGATTTAAGGACCTTGCTTCTTCCTGTGTCCCTCATAGCTCTCGGCCCAATGCCTTCCTCATGGCAGACACCAAGAGAACACATGCTTCATTCAAATATAAACCACTGACCAATTTACAAGCAATGCAATGACTTAAAACCTTGGCCCTCAAGAATCTTACAGAAAAAAACAAAAAAAAACAGACCATCCCTCCACCCCAAATGACAAATGTTCTTGAGCCAACAAGAAAAATATCCTGAGACAGTATCTAATTAAATGCCAAATGAAATGTTCAAGTCGTATGTCGTTCCCTGGAAGGGGGTAATTTTAGGCCATAGTAGTGATGACAGGTTTCCCAGAGAGGGTAGGACTGCAAGTGGAAACTGAAGTTCGGGAGAATTTAGCTCAGCCACCTGGGAGGATGCTCCAGGCGCACAGACAGGGTAAGCTCAAGTGCACAAGGAGAAACGAGCAAGGCCTGTTTGAGAGAAATACACACAAAGGGACAGCTGGGCCCATCCTGGACACCCGCACAGCAGTCCAGCCCAGAAGCCTCTCCAGGCCGGTTGGCCCAGCCTCAGGGCCTTGCAGGGGACAACAGGAAGGTACCCACCGGTCAGGCCCTGGCCGGTCTCCTGCCTGGCACACTCTGGGTGAGCGGCCTGGAAAGGAGTGTGAGTGAGACTGTCTGCCCCAGGAGGAGACAGACAGGCAGAGGGCTACAGATCTCACTCACTGGGATAAAAAATTAAATGCCAAGAAGGAGGGTGAGAAGAGGAAAAATCCAAGTTGTTGTAGAATTACGCAACTGAAATTCCACGCATAAGCCAGGAAATGCAAAGGTCACAGTTCCCACAGCAACTGTAACCTGAGCCGCCGGCTGTGTAGTCTTTGGCTCCGCCGGGCCCAAGGGGAAGCACCCTACTGTGCTCGGTGCTCAGCCTCCAGACCGCACCGCCAGCCAGTACCTGCCGCTCAGGGCCCCAGGTCCAGCCCCTGAAGCGCCAGGCAGTCCTGGGCTGTGCTGCTCCGAGCTCACCTGCGTGGCCACACCAGGCTGCAGTTCCGGATTCTTTTAGGCAGAGCTCCACCCTGACCCCGTGCCCACTAACTTGGGTCTTTAATCTTAACTCTTCTTCAGGTTGAGTGACCTTGAGGGGGAGGGGAAGGTGCACAGGGGAGGGGCTGCTGCGCCCCCC